GTCACCGTCACCGTAAAATCAATCCTCGCGCCCTCGGTATCGGTACATACACAGAAAGGCAAGTCCTATGTCCGCAAGCCCTCGCAGCTGGTTGACTAGCATGGCCTGGAAGTGTGCATGGACCACCCAGACCACTTCACGGACATTTTGGCATACAGGCCAATTCGGCCTCTCCAAAATAAAGGAGATCATATCGTCCTTGTCCGTATTGCCGGAAGCCTAACTCCGATAATGTAAATAAGTCCGGAGTGTATTATTTACGGACCGTTTTAAAATGGAATCAACATTTATCGGCAATGATGAACTGGCCCAGTTAACCGGAATTCACTTTCTTATGAAACCGACATGCTCTGTGGTTAGGAACAACAAACCCATAAATAAAAGACCTTATATTTGCAGTCGTAGGCGGTTCAAACAGTCTAGAAATAGCTAAATTTTTAGTCGTAAGTGTAACGCTTTTACGAACGCCTTAAGAGAACACGCGTGTTTTCCTTTACAAAACTACCCTAGGAACTAAACGTCCACAATTTTTTCTAGAACAAATTGCTGACATCATAGAAATATCAAAAACCGAACCTGAACATTTATATTATCCAGCAGTCGCTGTTTCGAGTAGGATAGTTTTGGGTTGCTGCGATGGTTTTCAGTCGGAGGAGATCCTGGGACGATGTATACGGGGACTTTGGACACTGATCTGTGCTTATCCGCATGCCATAACAGCGTATATCATTATTTCATTCGATGTTTTATGACCTTCAGCAATTGATAGTTGGGTATTCCAACTGGTAGATGGTCCCTTGCGCCAGGCAGCCTCTCCGCACCGAATGCTGATGATGGAACCCCAGAACAGTTGGCAGGCTTTTGGCTCACAAGCGTGGTCCGGTAAATCTTGTTCTGATGATCCTCTTGACCAACCAGTTATGTACCACCATCACCACCACCACCACCACCACCGCAAGCGGGCAAGTAACATATTTTCGGCTAACAGCTAGTAACCTTGGTTACACAAACGTCCTAAAAAGTTTGTTGCTATCTTTCGCTATGATTCTGCACTCTTTTCGGTTTATGCCCTTCAGGGCTTCTTTCGTGCAATTTGTGCTTAGCAAATGGAACTTTCAGCAAAAGATGCTTACTCAGGAATAATAATCTAGTGGACTTTCCTCTAATCCCCATCTTTTCTCATTCTGGAGAAAAGAAACATGTGAGGGATGAGGAGAAGCAGTAAAAGAGATAGAATTGATGATGACGAGGAAGAAGGGGGAGGGGACGTGACAAGGGGGAGAAATGGGGGAATAGGATTGATGAGTTTGGTCGGCAACCTAAGTTCCGTGATATGCCTATGCGCTGAGCGTCATCGAATCGCTCGCCTACGCTGAGCCACAGAAAAGGGAGGATGCTGACAACTGCATCAAAAATTTACCGCTCAGTCTGAACAAGTCACCTTCAATTAGGAACACGCAGTAGTTGATGAGCTTGAGCAGTCTGCTGGGACGGGCCGAACTGAAAACCATCGCAGTGTCAGTTCAACTTTACTAGAAAACCTAAATCATGTAAGTTAGATTAGGAGCCTGCTGAGAGTAGAAATGTATCCTGCTTCCGCTCAAATTTCACTGGCCAAGGAAAACATGTCACTTTCACAAATATATGGAAGGGTCATTAACAATTAATATGGGGACTGCTTCTGCTGAGTTACCGCCGTTTTGATTTCTCGAAAAATGTCCGCCTATTGCGATGGAATGTATCGCTGAAAGAGGGGATTACTTGACGCAACGCCGAGGATCTCCACGAACGGACATCATCTGTGACTGACTAAAAGTCAAAATGTGGAGATTCTGAAGAGCGAACCGGAGCAAAATGGTTTTTTTTCATAAGGTCCGTCGTCTATTACAGCAGGCCGCCTTTCCAGTTCTGTAGTATACTTCAGGATTAAGAAAACATCGATATGGTAGGCTTTTATTTTGTAGTAGTGAAAATTTCCAAAAAGTTCTCTCCAAAATAGAGGATATCATATCGTCCTTGTCTGCATTGCTGGAAGCCTAACTCTGATAATGTATATAAGTCCGGAGTGTATTATTTACGGACTGTTTTCAGCTGTTATCAACATTGTCGGTAATGAAGAACTGACCCCGTTTACCGGAATTCACTTTCTTATGAAATCGACATGCTCTGTGATTAGGAACAACAAACCCATAAATAAAAGACCTTATATTTGCTGTAGTAGGCGGTTCAAACAGTCTAGAAATAGCTAAATTTTTAGTCCTAAGAGTAACGCTTTTACGAACGCCATAAGAGAACACGCGTGTTTTCCTTTACAAAGCTACCCTAGGAACTAAACGTCCACATTTTTTCTAGAACACATTGCTGACATCATAGAAATATCAAAAACCGAACCTGAACATTTATATTATCCAGCAGTCGCTGTTTCGAGTAGAATAGTTATGGAGTACTGAGACGGTTTTCAGTTGGAGGCCATCCTGGGGCAGTGTATACGGGGCCGCCTTTCCAGTTCTGTAGTATATTTAAGGATTAAGAAAGCGGCGATATGGTAGGCTTTTATTTTGTAGGAGTGAAAAGTTCGAAAAAAAAATTCTCAGGTGGTCAAAGACAAAGGAGTAGGTTAATTTCCTGACTGCTAAGCAGCGTAGACAACGCGGAACTCCACCTTTTTTAGGGACGTACGAGTGTAATCAGTGAACGGCGGCATAAACTAGCAGATTTGGGCAGAGAATACACATATATTGTGCAAGTACGCAACATGCTACACAATAGCTGCCTGAGAGAGCGCGAAAGCCGATTTACTTAAGAAGCCCTCTGAGAGTTGATTTTTTGTTTCGCTGTGGAGAAATATACTAATGTTTACCAGATGACGACTATATTTCTGCAAGCAGGTTGCACGGCATGATTGTCGTCAGTTGTGATGTCCTGTGTTAAAATATCATGCACTCAATAAACAGAGCAAAAGAGCGATCACTCAGCAAATGTATTTTGTATGTGGGATTAACAAAGTCCATTACCCAAAATGCACAAAATGATAGCAGTTTGGGTGCCCGCGCACTCTTATTCTTCTGAAAAGAAAGGAAGTCGACAGATAAAACAAGAAGCCGATCTGCCTGACGTTTCGTATTCACTCACGAATTCGTAATTCCAGAAAGCTGGCGCACATAGAATGCAGTTCTGACAGAATGCCGTCCCAGAGGTCGCATGCGCGCATGTCCCGACCTCCCGGGGGCCGTGGTCACATGATTCCTACTGTGGCGTAGGCGCCAGAGGCGGACGACGTATACACACTTGAGGCGCGACAAATTCCAGTGGAGTTGAGTGCTAGTGTTAGTTTTGGGGCTAGGGTCAGATACAGGACACGCACTATGTAACCTCCTGATATTCAGCGCAAAGGCCGCTTGTACTGCAGGTCTCCAACCGGGTCCGACACAGGATGGCCATGCAGATGTTAATTTGAAGTCGTGGGTGGCATCCCATGCCGTTCACGAAAGGCGCATGTCTCACTTCGGCACAGTCAAGATAGTTGGCCGAGGTGACGGCCATTCGGCAGGACGGCCGTTAGAGGCATGTTTGCCGGACGATCACCTAATTAGTGTCAAGCTGATCTGTCCGCGACCTAAACGCACCCAACTGAAAGGATGTCGATAAGTCAACCAGTGAGCGTGGAGGACGGACAGACGGTAATTGTCAGTCCCTGCTGACTGTAGTCTAGCCAGACGAAGGAGCGCATCCCTACCCGTGCTCTCATGATGCAGAGGGTATAACGGATCGGTCAGGCTCCAGTGATGGAGAACTGAACTTGATTCTCGAAGCGTCGCATATTTAATTAACCTATTCAAGTGAACACGGCATATTCCAGCAAATCCATTTAAATCGAAGTATCAATATCTCGCGAAGTGAGAATACGTCCAGCATACCTTAGGGGTATTTATGTTTTGAGGCCAATCAAAGAATGTGAACCCAGTCCACAGCCATACATCGCCATTTGAATGAGCAACCAGGACTGGACGTCGAAATCCTCGCAAGGGGTGACAGTCGCGTGAACCGTGAAATGCTCGACTCATGGTCCTCAGGCCCGCAATCCATCAAAAGGCGCAATGACCTCCTGTTGCCATATACGGTGCCGAGACATTCCCTGGGTAAGGGAATCGGTCACGTGTGGAGGGCGCGGGCCAGCAACAATCTCAATGACAGAGAGTAAAATATCCGAGTGATAATCACGCCAACATCCAATACGGAGGATGAAATTGCGGCAATTAACGACTCGGACGCGGACTGATGCGACATCGTCGGATCACTTACGACCCCCAGCGGTGATCGCGAGCGCTGTTAATTATAGTATTCATGAGGTCCTACGCCTTGTGCAAAAGCGGCCTCGGGAGAGGTAGGAGACCTGGACGGCTCGCAAGGCCGAGGAGATCCGAGGATACGCGGAGTGCAACGAATAGAAGAACTTTTTCGCCACGATCAAGTCTGTCTAAGGTCCCGCAACCAAAGGCACCGCTCCTCCTCTCAGCGCTACCGAATTCCCCCACTCACTGAGAAGACGCAAATTCTGCAGGAGAAAATGCCAGGAGATGCGGACCCATATATATTCTACCTTTGTGGATCTGACAAAGGCCTTCAACACGGTGAATCGCGAAGGACTGTGGACGATCATGCAGAAATTCGGCTATCCCGAGCGATTCACTCAGATGGTGCGTCAGCTCCACGACGGCATGATGGCGCGAGTCACGGACAACGGAGCTGCCTCAGATGTATTCCAGTGACCAACGGAGTGAAGCAGGGATGCGTCCGGACGATCACCCTCTTCAGTCGCATGTTCTCTGCCATGCTGATGGACGTTCCGACATCCGCTTCGCCTACAGGACGGACGGTCACCTCCTCAATCAGCGCAGATACACTTCTAGTCGCGTGTACTCCCAACTACCGTTCATGAACTTCTCTTCGCGGACGACTGTGCCCTCAACGCCACCTCGGAAGGGGATATGTAAAGGAGCATGGATTTCTTCGCCGTTGGCTGCGACACCTTCGGCCTGGTCATCAATACGGAAAAGACGGTGGTTATACATCCACCGCCACCCGACGCTGCCTACGTCGCATCCCAGATCAACGTGAACGACGCCCAACTGCACGCCTTGAACATCACCTACCTGGGCAGCATCCTCTTCCGCAACACCAAAGTCGACAATGAAGTGGACAGCTGGCTTTCCAAAGCCAGTCAAGCCTTCTGTCGTTTGCAGAACACAGTTTAGAATCGACACGGTCTCAACCTCAGTACCAAACTGATGATGCACAAGATGGTCATACAGCCGACGCTGCTGTATGGTGTGGAGACTTTGACGGTGTACAAGAAGCAGGCAAGAAGACTCAACCACTTTAGCTTCAGCTGTCTCCGACAGATATTGAAACTGAGGTGGCAGGACCGGATCCCAGACACGGACGTACTGAAGCGGACGGGAATTCTAAGCATCTACACCATGCTGAGACAACAGCAACTGCGCTGGAACGGTCATCTAGTGCACATGGACGACGAAAGATTATCCAAACGATTCCTCTATGAGTATGGCGCCACTTGGTTAACGCCGAAAAGGAGGTCAGGTCCGGCGCTACAAGGATACTCTGGAGAGCAGTGAAGATGCACGCAACGATCTATGAAACCAGCTGCATCACTGCCACCAAAGCCAAACGCGAGGCTCGAGAATCCCAACTGCACCTACCTCGCGACGTCAACGCTGAAGCACCCCCGATCTGCCAACGCTGCCAGCGGTCGTTCCGGGTACCAGTCGGCCTTGTAGGACATCTTCGTACCATCGGCAGCACACGGACTATACCAGCTGCTGTCGCCACGTCCACCTCTGGCTCACCCTCCACGCCGACAAATGACAGTGACCGTACCCCCGAACCCCCACTACTATCCTCCTCCTCCTCCTGATCCTCCTCCTCCTCCTCTTCCTCCTCCTCCTCCGCCCCTCCTTCCCCATTGCTCAATATCTGTCACGACAGCTCCTGTACCCACCACTACCACTTCACACCATCTTGACACACCAACGAACATCAACCCTTCCTCTCCGCCAACAACCCCAGCGATGTAGACTCGACCCACGCCTGTCCTCGTTGCGACCGCGCCTTAATTTCACACATCGGCTTGGTCGGTCACTTGCGAATTCATCTCACAGAGACCGGCGAACCAGTGTCTGGAGCACCAACCTGCACTCGCCGTGTTCGTCTCCACTGTCCACATCGCCCACGCACATACACTCACCGCATGGGTCTATTCGGTCACATGCGTATCCACGAGAGCGGAATTCATCGCAGCCTCGAAATACCTATCACATCCTGCACATCCTACATGCTTAGCCCAACGCACACCCCGTCATCCAGCGCGCACACCACCAGCAGTCCCACCGCCGCCAACATCACTAAAACCGACACTGACACCGCCGACGTTTCCTGTCCCCATTATTCCCTCGCGGTCACCTAACAAATCGGCCTGGTCGGTCACTTGTGGATCCATCGCACAGAGACTGCCGAACTAGTGCCTGGAGCACCAATACACTCGCCTCACCCGCTCAACTCCCTTCACTGCACTCGCACATTCACCCACCGAATGGGCTTATTAGGTCACATGCGCATTCACGAAAACTTGTGGTAGACAACCGCGGCCACACCGCACCATCACACCCTCCTCCACCTGCATCACAGATCATCATCCATCACAAGCATCCAACTGCCACCTCTCACGCAAATGGGAAATGTACGTCTCCGCTCCGTCGTCATGCAGCCCCTCTGCTGTGTGTGTGATTCGAGTCCGAGACTATCGTTTCGTATCAAGCGTCGTGGCTTGGAAGGCTGCTGGCTGACGTGATAACTTGGACCTCGCAGTCGGCCCAGTGTTGTGTGTTTATGTGTGGAGTGGCTGGCTGGTGGTCTGGAGTCAGACGACAATTGCTCCTTATTAATATGGCCCTTATGGCACTCCCACTCCGCGGGATCCGAGTCAGGTGTGACGGCACGCCTTAGTGCGTCTCCGGTCATGCCAGTCACCCTTTTGTTGTTGTTGGTTAAAATTCTGGTCATTTGCGCTGTGAACCAGGGGTGTGGCTTGGAGCGCCTAGGTGCGGGCTCGACCTTGCCGCTCCCTCCCCCTCGCCTCCGGTCTTTTTGACTGCGTCTTGACACCGGGTCCAGGTGGAGAGGAATAGGGAGTGCGGTGGATGCTTCCCAAGTCTACATTCACTACAAACTAACTCATTCGCGAATCACAATGCCTGCTCCACCTTGTAGTGGGGCACACGGTGGGCATCGTCGGCAACGACAGTCGAACTATCTAGGTCTTACAGCAGCTAGATATTATAAATACTACGGTCTTTGTGGCTGCATTACCCTTATCTGTGACTGTCTCTGATGACGGTTTCGAGTGAAAATCCGAAATATAGGACCAGCAGGCTGCTTGTTCCAGTGATTTCAACTTCTTCTTCTGAATCAAAAACAACTGAATAAGCGCATTATATCATTAGACATGCTGAGCGTTTCTACTAACACATTTGTATGTGGTTGGATCCAGGATAACTGAGGGAGCTACTACGGTTATGCACCAGGAACGTAAGTTCCTGTAAAATGAGCAGTTTTGCAGACAGATTGACGTCACAACTATTGACAGTTCTGGCCAATATCATCATGTCATTGCCTCGAGCGAAAACTCTTGCAAAAGTTAAAGCGAGTTACTTTCTGGGAAGATGATACGAATAATATTTCACCAGTAAATGCGTCTGGAATTTCTAATAACTGATAAATTTTAATTTAGGCGTGAGAAAATCACACAACCATAAACGTATCAGAAGACTGGTGGAAGTATCGACCTCCTGAATTCATACTAGGAGCTCTGCTGACTGAGCTCTCCTCAACATCCCAGTCAGTCATATGACTTAACCCGAGAGGCGCATATAATTTGCAATCTGGGCGATTGACTTGTGCGGGTCGTAAGATGATTATCTTGCTCGCATGCAAAGAAAAATTTAATTTGACCATGCGTCAGCAGGATTTTGAGATATTCTCTAATTTGCAATAGCCAGAGCAGCCTTGGTTGAGACAGGGTGTGGGCGAGTATAAGTGTAGAAGACCGTAAACTTAAACCGTCAATTAAATAATTGTCTATGATGGTCAAAAAGATGTTTCCGATAATCTGCCCTATCAATAAGTCAATCTTCAATAGGCTTTGTCCAGAACATTGCGGCTAGCCAAATAATAGTAAGTGGTGACGTTTTCCTGCCCAGCCCTATTTTTCAACGTCTTGTTGTTTAACTACTGTGATGATTTAAGTAATAATGGTTTCGCGTTCTTCGTTTGGGTCATACTGAGTTGCAAACGATCCTAGTTGCTGATGACTTATCTTTACTTTCAAGGGACAAACGTTAATGATTTCATCGTACATTTTTTCTCAGTCGTAATTTTTCACATTTCTGATGTATGATTTGGGCACAACAGCTAACCGCTTTAGTCCTAAACCCTTTCACCAATCTCAATTTACCTGACTTTGGGCGCATTATTAGAGGATGAAAAGTACAATATTCATCATAAATCCTTGCGTAATCCTGCCTTCCTTCACTTCTGATGGGTTTTTCGAGAATACAAGTTTGGGGTTCTAAGGTTCAGGTTATGTTTGGTTTATGAAGTTATGGTTTGGTTTTTAAGGCTGGCAATAATGTTTTGAGTTTAGGGTTAGGAGTTTAATTCCAAAGCTGGGTTCTCAAAGTTGGAGTTAGGGTTAGCTTAAGGTTTTGCCATTAGCGTTAGACCTAGGGCTTTAGGATCAAGGTTGGGGTTAGGCTTTTGCAGTTAATATGTAAATTAAGTTTGGGATTAAGGTTTTAACTTTAGGTATAAGGAATAATTTTGAGATTGTGGTTCCAAGTTCGAATTTGGGGTTGAGGTTGGCTCAGGAAGACACACATAATGGGTCCCCTGCCGACTGTTAACTTGCATTTGCTGCTTTCGTAAAGGATTTTCTCTCCGTTGTGCCTTACTTTTTAGTTTTCGTACGTCACTTTTTATATTTCCTACTTCTGTATTGTTTTAACATGTGTCTTTTTCCATTCCGCACTTTTTTTGGTTGTGTTTAAATTTGTTTCGATTTTCCATCTGCCTGTAATTAGGCTAATCGGCTAACTTTCTTTTTTCACATTTTTTAAAATAACGTCCTCGAATTTACACTGGATGTTGGCATACTTAGACGAAGTGATGGCGTAAATTCAATTTATGGCATTTCTTCTTTATGGAGTATTCCGTCCACCGCATCTTTTAATTCCGCCCATGCTATACCTATTGCCATAATTCCTGTATTACCGGCGTCCCTGCTTCTCGTTTTACGAGTGGGACTGCATAGGATATCGTTACGTACTACGTTAGTAATTTCATAACGGTTAATCAAAAGCTTTTCTTCAATTGCAATTATTTCTGCGGTCTGAAGCACTACTTCTAGCACAAATATCTTGGATTTCCTCGACGTTATGACTTTTTCAGTCTTCGCTCGAGATAAGCCATTAACCCGTGAGTTAACCAACGCGAATTGTTGTCCTAGGAACCTCTCGGCAAACCTTGTTAAATATGTTTGCTACGCGAGACATGAAATTTATATTTCTTTGGCAGTTTATGGACATTTCGCTTCTATAAAATATATCCACCTAGTACATTCAAAAAACCAATCTTTTTTTCAGATAGAGATAAGTCGGTTCCTTCTTTACACACGCACACACACTCTCACATTTCTGGCGATGAAGGGCGATTTATGTGCCCTTTTAAGCAATCCTTCCTCCCATACAATATTAAAAACCTTGCGTTCAAATTAAAACACTTCCATAAGGTTTTTATTTGACCACGGGATAAACAAAGGTTATCGGGACTCCGAGTGCAACCCGATTACTGACACCAAGCCCAACTTATGGCCTTAGAATGTTATCGAGTCATTAACAGAAGCTTTTATCTCGAAAATACACAGTGAAACTGGACACTTTTGCTGCCTATTTAACAACTAGAATGTTCTTTAACGACACAAAAAAGACACAAGACTATGAACTCCAGTTTGTCGATTTGGCAATTGATGTGATAAAGTTCCAGAAAGTTTGAACATACATTTCCCACTTTAATATTTGAAAATAGAACTCCTTAAAAACGCTTTCTAATTCGGCGACAGCCACTGCAGTGATCTGGTTTTTACGCTCATACTGCATGCCAGGTGGAAAGACAAGTGTCTAGCCGTAAGCAATCTGACCCAATTCCAAGGCCACAGATGCATGCTCATAGATGTCTGCAAATAATCGAATTCTATTGGTTGACCTAAAGGCAAAGAGCATCATCAAGTCACTGATGGCACTCTGAAACCAGATATGTCAGCGAGACTTCAAAATGTTCAGACATGTCGTTGACAGCCAATTCTCTCGACTTGGCATTTTCAGCGCCTTCTATACGTAGAGCCACTTAGGTAGGCGTATTTTGGGCCTTATTTCGACGTTGAAATACATCTAGTGATCGATTCCATATCTTGATTTACAAGAATGCAACAAAAGAAGGAATGTCGCACGGTCTTCAAATGTGCTATTGCTACCTCTAACCGAGGATTTTGGTGCCTTACTCTAAGCTCCACTTGTCCACTTTCTTGAACAGTGGACGAAAGGGCTTAATTTCATGTAAGACAGTAGCGCTTAGGCAGCACACCCATTAACTAAATACGAAACACTGTTCTGTGGAAATGAAGACTAATTGCTCAACTTGAAAAGAAAGCGTGCGTCAGTTAATAAAGGAAGTATCGCGTTCATAGTTAAACTCAACTTTAGTGAGAACTGCCGAGTTTCCGTTAAGCCCGTAGATTTCAGCACAGTGATCTAAGCACACAATCTCTGGCTCATAAACGTACTGGAGTTCTTGTACAATATTGAA